TGATGAGTATATTAGTATATTTTATATTTTTAGCATATATTAGGAAAATAGAACATATTTTCCTTCATTTGTGGTGGAATGGAAACTTCACCTTTGAGGAAGCATTCTACATCCCACAGCTTCCTGTTTATAGTATAAATGAAAACAGAATTTGTTTACGTTGAGGATTTCTCTCTCTCTTTTTTTATGTCTCTCTGTAACATGCAGGGAGTCTCAGAGTGACATTTTTTCCTAGTTCAGTAGTACCAATGAAAACTGCTCACAGTGAAACACAGCACAAAATACTGGAACTCCAGGTTTAAAAACACTGATTTTAAGGATTAGCTAATTCAGTTCTGTTCTTAAAGTTGAGCTCCATTTTGCATATAAGCAAAATTCTTTCATAACCACCGAGCTGTGATCACTTGGAGTTTTCATTATTCTTTGGATAATGAGAAACTTAATTAAAGCAGACAATTTTTATATGTTTTTCTTGGTAGGATGAAATTATTTTACTCAGTAATGTTGGAACAATCAAGTATCCTCTTTTTAATGTTTTTTCTTTTCTCCATGCTAAGTAATATTAAAATACAGGACTAAGACATGAGAAAGTGAACCAAAGTACAGAATCATTGTATTGAAATGTTGCTGATTACCACTTCCCTCAGGAGTCAAACAAAAACTATTTGAAAGTTGTAATGCTGCTTTTTCTGTGTGATCTATGTAGACAGCTTATTGGCAAAGCAACACTGACTCTTTTGGTATGATTGGAGCTATCCATACATACAGCTTCACAAGAAAGGGACTTAATTTGCATTACTTAGATATGTACTTTTATTTACTTTGAAAGATTTGTGGGAAGAATTAGACTAAAGAATTAAATAGTAGTTAGGCTTTGCTCTACATGATAATCAAGATTTTTCTAATCAGTTCTGGTATACTTTTTTTCTGAAAAAAATTTCCTTTTGAATTCTAGTTTGGGACTACACTACAGGCCGAGTGGGACCACCTTTGGTCTGCTGTGAAATCCAATTAATGAATTGGGAGGAAGGTGAGAATTTCAGCATGCAATTAAATTCTACTGTGTTTGCAAGAACTTTATAGAGCTGTTTATTGGGCTTTGCTCTGTTAATGGCTTTGTAAATTAAAATTGCTGCTTGTGATGTTAGCTTGTGATGCGTCTTAGGCACAGGAGGCAACAGCTAGCTGATGTTAAGGTATGTGGAAGATTTACTTCAGAAAGCCTAAGCCCTCTATTCTTTATTGAAAAAGAAGTGGCTAGGTTGTCTAGAGAACTTCTGAGATCTGAAGACAGAAAACTGGTACATGTGCTTTAGGAGGAGATAAAAAGGTTACAGGGTTGATCCAATTCTGTTTTGCCGTTCCACAATAGAATAAGGTTATTCTACAGTACTTCAGTAGTACTAATTAAAAGACTATTTTAAACCTCTTCTTTTACCTATACAGGGGTAGGGTGGGGTGGATAAAATCAATTCCTCAGCAATTTTAAAATTTGCATATAATTAGGCAGGAGCTATCAACACACAAATGGCATTTTGAATATGTTATTATGACTTTTTTACTATATTGTTTCTTTCAACTCACACTGTGATTGTATATGCATGTACATATAAAGAGCATCCTCCCCATTCTGAGCCAGGTTAGTGTTCCTGTAGGAGGGGGTGTGATGACTCTCATCTGTTCGGATTTTCTACAGAATTGTTTAGTTAGATTTAAAATGTCTTTTGGTAATTTCTTCTCGTTGTAGACTTTCATGTTTTGGAGGGTAGAACTACATAATACGTAGAGGAGTTTGGGGCTAATTCAAAAATGTAGAGTTGTGGGTTCATCAGTTTTCTCTAAAAGTATGAAGTAAAATAATCCTATAAAGCTGTATGACATCTCTACAGCATGTTAATCCTGGTAGAAAGATTGCACAGATGTTGCATTTGACCTCTGTGTGCGTGAGAGAGAGAGAAATTAACTATTAGTAAACGCACATGTTAAATCTTTATATGCTGAAAGGGATTGGACCTGTCTGCTCTTAGCGAACTATTTTATGTAGTGTTTTCAAGCAGTACTGTTGGCAAAGGACTACTTGAAGTAGTTTATTTTTATTAGTTAAACATAAAAATTATAGGAATTCTGGCTTTGGAGTACATTTTTAACTTTTATTAACTTTTATTAACTTAAACCTTTGTTTTTAGGTGGATATTACAACACTGATAAACCATATCCTAGAGGTGAGATTCTTATTGGAGGGCAAAATGTGACTGTGGGCTACTACAAAGATGAAGAAAGAACCAAAAAAGATTACTTTGTTGATGAGAATGGGCAGAGGTGGCTCCATACTGGAGATATTGGAGAATTTCATCAAGATGGATGTCTAAAAATTATTGGTGAGTTATGGCAAATTCAGGTAAGTGTGTGTTTGTGTATGCATGCATTTACGTATTTTAGAATATACATGTACAAACACACACCTTTCTGAGCTACTAATGTTAGTACCCAGAGATGGGCATATCTTGGCGTGCAGTCAGAAGCTTTGCTGTATCTTCCCATGAAAATACTGATATCTTAATGTAATCTCAGTTGTTTTAAAATAATTGCTCTGATTACTTTAAGACAACCTTAACATTGACTCAGATCTTTAGTGAGATTAATAATTAGAAAGTAAAGAATCTGACTTATTTTAAGTTTTGTTTGGTTTATATAATTTATATAAGGAGCCTGTGTTAAGCTCCTAATACTTTGGCATTTGTAGACACAAAAAATAGGTGTCCTAGTAACTACCATGTCTTTTTTGAAGTCAGTGGGTAATTCAGGGTGCTTGTTAATGTTGAAAATAGATCCACAACTAAGAGTTTTAGTGCTAAGCTTCTCTGTTTTGTTTTGTGGGCCAGATTTTAGGTCCCATTGTAGCTGCCTTGTGCTGGTCAAAAAAGATAAGACAGCCACAAAACTACCTTGCCTGGCTGCAGGAAGAAGCAAACAGTGTTAGAGCCCAGGGAGAGGTAGGCCAGTTGCCATCACAGCTGGCTGGATAAAGCCCTGTGCTTTTTTGTTTGTGCATAGCCCCCAAAAAAGCAATAAGCTCAAGTAATTCAGGCTTAATTTTCAAATTTGACTGTTGTTTCAAATAACAGATGGACAGTTGCTCTTTAAATAGGGTTTTAACATAAGAATATGTAATAAAATGTTACCAGATGTGATGTCTCCTGCATTAAGTACCTCAGCTAAACAGCACAAAATGTATGTTTCCAAATAAACACTGCCTTTTACATAATCCTAGCTGCATATACTAGAGCTATCATATGGAAGATGCTGTTCTAAAGACAGAAATGCATATAATTCAAATGTGGATCATGTTAGGTAAGGGACAGATTGATTTTTGGAATTTGCAATTAAATGTGCTTGATGTAAGCTGACCCATGTTTGGGGGATATATTTTGGCAATTTTTAGAAACGGATAAAGTCAATGACTTAACTTTTCTGTATTTAACATTAAAACTTTCTTTCTTTCTTTTTTATTTTTTCCTCCAATAGATCGTAAGAAAGACCTTGTAAAACTCCAGGCAGGAGAATATGTTTCCCTTGGCAAAGTAGAAGCAGCTTTGAAGAATCTTCCACTGGTAGATAATATTTGTGCATATGCAAGCAGGTAAGAGGCAGCTGGTGTTTTGAATTTGCTCTATTCTTTTATCTGTCCTACTGAAGCCATAAAATATTTTGCCAATCAATGTGGAATAATTTTTTACCAATTGAAAAATTATTTATAATACAGTGAAATAACTTTTTCTACTAAAAGTAAAGCATTTGGAGTCTTTTTTATTTATTTTTCCTTTTCAACTTTTCCTTCATCCTTCAGGAAGTGCTCACAGTGGGTCTCCTTCATTGCCTTTTCCCCAATTTAAAAAATATATGAGCTTTGATTGTGCTCATAAGAGACATCCCTCGAGCACTTTAGGAATGGTATTACCTTTAGAAGTGCTAGCGAGCTTTGTTCCTTGCTTGGTCACATTTTTAGTTGTGACCTGCCCTTCTCAGGAAGTACTTTTGAGGAGGAGGGAGCAAAATTTTCAACAGCCCAGAAGCTGGATTGTGTATTAAAAGTATTTTTCTTTCCCAGCCCCTGCAGAACATCATCAGGAGCAATGAAGCTTGATATAAAACACAGTGTAAATGCTATATAAATATGAATACTAAATACAATTAATAACAGCAATCCAATGTCCTTTAAATTTCCTGGTTATGCTACCATGCTAACAGGCAAACATGTCTTAAGCTTTTGTTTCTAGAATTTCCTAGGTTACTATACATGAGAGATATAACGGTAACTTATTGTATAAATGTGTTTTGAAAATTATTGTGTCCTTGCTGTCCTGCTTGGAAAGCTGTTTTGTAGCTTCTAAATTGTCAGAAATGTTCTGATTCATAGTGTGTCCATGATACCATCCACTTAACTGTGAAGGCCAGGAGTAGTAATAAGTAGAAAATCAGCTTTTTGTTCACTTGGTTCTCTGTGTTTTATCTGAGTTGTCAGAAGTCACCATTCAAACATACAGTTCTGACAGTATTGGGAGATGCACTGGACTTTCTGCTGCTTGGAACGTTTTAATTTTCGTTAAATTTTTTTTTTATTGTCATTTACCCTGTATTATTAGTGAAGAGAGGGTTTGCTGCATACACTGATTTCTGCTGTTCTCGAATTTAAATTCTGGTTGGTCTGTCAAGTTTTTGATACACTTATCAACATAACTTGGAGAAAGAATTTGGCTATTCAAGAGTTGGGTATGAGTTTAGAGTAAGCAAGAGAATTCAGCTGTTTTAGTGTCTTGACTCTCTGCAGAATAGTGCTTTGAGTATTATTCTTTGAAAGTTATATTTACCTTTGCAAATCTTTAAATATATACAATTGTTAAACATACATATTAAAAAAATAGTACTTGCACAGTCAACTCCACATATTTGGAGTACGTGTCTGTTTAGAGCTTGAAAATTTAAAACAAATCAACCACTTACTGGTTGAAAAGCACCTTCTCAATAACCGAGGTAATAAATTTCTGGCTTAATCTGGTTCCACATTGCTGCAAATATCACACTAACTTGCAGTGTATCTGGTGCACTGAGTGTCTGAAGAAATGAAGGAAGGAAAGAGTCTTCTGATCTATCTTCTACTAGAAGTTAGGACAGAAAACTGTTCTGCATTGTGGAAACTTTTAAAGGGCTATATTTATTTTTGGACTTTGAAATCACACCTCCATCTGTTCTAGCCATGTCGGGCAAAGATTCAGAACAGCTGAATGAGTGTATGGATGATCCCTTGAAAGGGGAAACCTACCTTACAGGAAGAGGCTTTCTTTAAGATGTGCTGTGTCTATGCTCATTCCACAACCTGCTCTCCAGCCCCTCTTCACTGCAGTCCCCTTCTCCTCTACAGTAAGTGAATTGTGCAGTTGAGAGGAAGCTGAGGTAGGGAGGCCACACAGCACTCCTACACCATGATGCAAAGCATGAGGAGAGGCAGGGCCTGTCAACATCGTGTGGGTGCTGCTTCCCCAAAGCTTTAGGCATGGGGCACAGTGCAATGTGCATGTGCACAGCACACCTTGGAGCAATCCAGTTGCTGTAAGGTGAGTAACCTCTCTTTCCACGTAGTTTCAAGCAGGCAAAAGTAATTTTTGAGAGAGGTTTTTGGAGAGAGTATTAGGTGAACAAAACCAAAAGCTGCTAAAGAGCAGTATCTCTGTAGGAAATGCAAATTCTCCTATTTATGTTGGATAGTAACTTATGTTATTACTGGCGTTTTGTTAATTTTACAAAATTCATACTAAAGTACATTATACTTCTCAGTTTCCATTCTTATGTCATTGGATTTGTTGTGCCAAATCAAAAGGAGCTTGCAGAACTAGCTCGAAAGAAAGGATTTAAAGGAACTTGGGAAGAGATCTGTAACAGCCCTGAGATGGAAAAAGAGGTACTGAAGGTGCTAGCTGAGGCTGCCATGGCAGGTGAGTAGTCAGGTAGCTGGTGTTTGCCTTGTGGCGAGTAGTGTATTTGAAGCATACGTTCTAAAAAATATATCCTTATGCATGTGTATTTTATTACAAATTCAGAGACTGTATGTGAAGTGAATTTTCTTATTAAAAAAAAAAACAAAACATGTCGTAGTCTGAGTACTGGGTCAGCTCTTTTGGTCCGCATAGCCTTTAAAGCCCTCTGCACTGAGGCCACTAATTGAGAGAAGAGTACAAGAAAAGGCCCCACATACCAAGCTCAGGTCAGTTTCCCTTTTAAGAACGCTTTCTGGTATTCTTTCAGACATCCTGTAGTGTCTTCTCGGCCTCTAGCTGCTGGTCCAGAAGAATCTGGGTCTTTCTAGATCTGTGGTGTATCTGCCAGCATCTGTGGTGTATCTACCTGAGGATGTTTTGAGAACTGTGCATGGAAAAAATTAAGACATGACTTTTGAGTTAAATATATATATATTTATATATATATATATTATAAACAGGAGCAACACAAACCTCTGGGATTTATTTCAATATTTCTGTGGGAACTGGAGAATAATTACTGATAGATTCTGTTTCTGCTTGTGGCAACACTGTAGGTTTTGGAGCTATCTATGGGGGTTTGAGAAGCCCCTCAAACCATGGAGGGTTTGTTAACGTCACGTACTTTTTTTGTGTGTGTGAGAATATGGTTCCTGATCTTTATGGTTATTTATGAAAAAATGGTTCCATTTTAAGTCTTTTATTCAAAATGTTTGTTTTTACAGCTAACCTGGAGAAGTTTGAAATACCAGTTAAAATTCGTTTGAGCCCTGATCCTTGGACCCCAGAGACTGGTCTAGTGACAGATGCATTCAAACTAAAACGCAAAGAGCTTACAGCGTACTACCGAGCGGACATTGATCGAATGTATGGAAAAAATGTAAAATAATTCTTTTTCTGCACCACTTTGCTACAGTGAGCTTGGATCAAATAGGAAATACTTGAATCATCTGTCTCAACACTTGAGATCAACACAGAAAACCGCCATTCCTCATTTGCAGCTTAAACTGTTGTTTCTGATAACACCACCATTATGACTGACAAGTTTAGTAAAACGTTACGGCAGCAAACTCGTGTCTGTCTCCTTTTTTTTTCTTCCCAGTTTTCTCTGCTATCTTGTCAGTCTGTGGGTCTTTCCTAAGTCTTTTTGGGAAGCTATGATTTTGAAGCCTCAAGTTTTTAAAAGTTTATAAATCCTGTATAATGTTTTGTTTGTATCTTCAAAGTTTGGATGTATATACAGAGGACTTGGCTATAGAAAAAAATGGTTATACTGGGGGCCTTTTTACCTGTTATTTAAACATAAGAAGGTATAAATGTTGTGAAATTATGTAAATTGAAACTGTTTATAAATTTGATCACTGAACAGAGGACCAGGTTGTCTGCTGCTGTGCCATTGCTTTGCAGAAAATTGAGTGAAGAAAATGTGTGGCATTCCAGCTCGAGTCATACACCCTCATTATGTGCCTAATGGTTGTTTTTGCTTTTATCTGAAATGAGAAGATGGTCAAGGCACAGCTCTGCATGAAAGGCAGGTACTCTTGCAGGTGAGCATGCTTATTTAATACAAAAGATGCTATTAACACAGCAAAAGTTACACCTTGGAATACAGAATACAGAACTTTTTGAACTTTTCTAAGACCATTTCATACAGTTGTTGAATTATTCAGATCTAGTAAAAACTCTGAAGTTTGGCAATGTCTTTTTAGCAGAAGGACTGACAAATTGTCTCTTTTTTCATTAGATTTAGACATCACTCCAGTTTGTTGTTGTTTCTAAAACTGTGATAAGAATCCTGTTGTAGCTGCAACCCAGATGCTTTGGAGGGGATTTTTAAAGTCATAATGACAGTTATGTTCTTAGCTCCATGGTGCCTAGCTGCCCTTTGTGCCATTAAAAATCTCCCTCTTTTATGTTTTGTTCAGCATTTTTTGCTTTAAAAACGTATTTGAATTATTTGTTAACCAATCATATTTAAGTTACTTGGTTTATTTGATAATTTCTTTCTTTGGGGAGCAGTCTCAATTTCTGTTTTACCATAGATATGTGAATGTTGTTTCAAGAGTTACGGAGCCTCTTCAGGTCTTAAGTGAGAGCCTTTAGATTTGTTTCAGATGTGAATTTTATTTTCAAAATATGTGTAGAAAGACTACTTTAATCAGGGTAACATGAGAATGTGAAAGGCATATACCAGTGAACTTTGGAATAAATGCTTAAAGGGCTTTAATTTGGAGAGACTGTCATGTGTAATATATTTACCAGCAGTACTGAGAATCAAGGTCTTAATGCCATGATAACATACAGTAATTCCAAATAGTGCAGAAGCTTTAGCTGTAGGGGGTAATTGCTGCTGTTAACGTTTTGTGAAGCTTTCACATGGGAATTTTGGGAGATGGTTTTGTAAGGAAATTCTCATTAAAATACAAATGCTGAAATATATCACTTAAATTATTGATGATAGAAAGCAGTTCTGTTGGAGAGGAAAGTTATCAAGTAGGTTCCCTGCATTTACTTTTATTTTGGCAAAATAATGAGAAGATTTTTGCTGTCTTTTACAGTAAATTATCATTGAACCTACTGTTTGTGGATTTCTGCAGCTGCTGTCTATGGAGAAACTATTACCATTTGATGAACTTGTGCTTAATTTGTCAAATGGAATTCAAACAATGAAAATAATTCAGAACCACATTTACGAGATTTATGACTTCACATATTTAGATCATGAATATAATCCTCTGTCTGGCGATTAGAGATGAAACTAATACTGGAAAATTAACTGAAGAACCAGTATGTGGAAACGGCCAAATCTGCAGGGAAGTGTTATCACACAGTATACGAGACATTAATCATACTTAAATATGTATCTGCACTCCATCAGTTTTGATAAATGGTTTGCGCTCAGCACAGGATGTGTTTTTTCACCAAAATCACAAAAAAAAATAATAAATTGCTGGTACTGGTGCATTGTGCAGCAGATTTGAAAGAAATCTGCCCTAAATTTGGAAGGAATCTGAAATTAGTATTCTATTCTGCTAAGAATTTTTGGATAAATTGCATAAAAGATAAGTACTTTAAAATGTTTTGGAAATATTTTTAATTTTGCTCCTGACCCAATGTCAGGATTGGATTGCAGTCTAACTGTGCACTTGTGGGTGTTTTTGATATCCTTCCTCCTTTAGCCATCAGATGCTAACAAAACATGTTTTGCGTAACAAAACATGGAATTGAGCCTTGTTGGGTTGTGAGCATTTTCAAGTCCTGTTCAGGCTGCTTTCCCAGTGGGTGCTTTTCCGAAGATAAGGAGAAAAGCTTGTCTGGGAGCTTTACCCCGTGGGCTTTTGTGCCTGCGTGGCACCTTGGCTCCGTGTTGTCACATCGCGCTCTTGCAAGGTTGTGGGTGTCAGAAATCCAGACCTGATTTCTGCTCTGCTCTGGAAAAAAGCACAAGTTGTGAAACAGGAGGGTGTGAAATCCTGGTGGTACCTGCATGGATGCGTGACGTGATAGCCAGGAATTTGTCAGTTATCTTTGTTTTTTGTCTTCCCATCTCCAGTGTAAAAAGAAGAACAAAAAAGCCTCATGGAATGTATTTTATGTGTCCTAAATGCTGTGGGCAGCTGTATAGTGAATTATAAGAAGTGCATGGTTAGAAGTAGCAGTCTCCATCATGTGGCGACTTCTGTAATGAAAAGAGCTGTGATTTTTTATTTTTGTTTTTTTTTTAAACAGACTTTCCAAGTATAAGAATAAAGGTAATATACTGTACCCTAAAGGAGAGGGTGCTTTTTGACCAAACACTTGTAAATATGACTTCCCGGGATTCTGAATCATTGGGAATTGTAGCTACTTATTCTGTTGTGAAAATTTGCATAGCATTAAAACATATTCCACCATAAAAAACAACTGACCTGAAATTCCAAGGATGCACTAAATCTCTTCATAATTTCTACGATTATATTAAAAAAATATTCCAAAATGTTCAACAGAGTTCCCTCTAGATATCATGCAAGTTTTCAGAGAATAGTATTTCTGGAATATGTTAGGAAATTAAAAATTACAATCCAGAAAGACCTTGCAAGTTTACTGATGCTGCTACTGCTGCAGTTTACATACAGAAGAAAGGCAGTACCTCAATGGGAAGCTGGAAAATACTTACTGCTCTCAGCAGTAAAATATTTTGCTGAAATGAAAGCGACAAACAATGTGCAATTGAGACTAAAAACGTAGTACATGGCTACACATTACTGGTTTTATAAATAGGATGCAAAGAAATGTGTGGAATTGAAACTATACATAAAAACGTCCTAAAAAGCTTGTAAATTTGTGCAGAAATTGCAATAGGACACAACTCCTTTGCAATAACCTTTATCCTGCTAAAATTCACAAGTTTTTATTCTTTACTAAAATTAGATTTTGGGCTATGTGATGCAGCATTTTTACTTTTTATTAACGTGATGTATTAAATACTTTGGACTTGTTATAAAATCGTGTACATCTGTATCTTTACTGGTAAGAAGAACAATCACGTTCAAATAACATACACCTTGGACCAGGCTGAAAAGTTGATTGAATGACCAGTTGTATATTATTGTAATTGGTTATTTAACATAAACTCATTTTCAGTGCGAACTCGGTTGTTGTTATGAACTGCCTGAGCATTGTATATCATAATTCAGTTATTCTGTATGAATTATTTATTTGTAATTTGACATCTTGTTTCAAAAATAAAATTAATTTCACAAATCAGGCCCTAAACTTCATTTTAAGCTGCCTTTTTTTATCAAGCTGAATGTAGATAATTTACACTCGTACATGAGTAGATTTCTGTAGACTTGAACTGACGTGTAGCTGTTGGTGTGATTCCGGTTTTAAGAGCAGTGCCGCGTTAGTGGCGTTGGGGATGCTGCGTTATCGGAGGGATCGCCTTGGCCGAACCCCCTCTCCTGTTGCTTTCTATCCCCCTTTACTGGGAAGCTTTTGCCCGTGGCTCCAATCCTGTACCGTGTGAGTCTGGGGCACCGAAATACGAAGGTAGTGAAGGTGAAACGGTGCCGGTAGCGATGGTTTTGTGCCATCCAGGTGCTCAGGATGCCGCTTGGCCGCCTGTGTTGTATCCATCCTGCTGCGGGGATGCTCCTTGTGTCTGTTCATGCTATTGATGATGGGTTTGTATGTTCAGATTGGGTAAATCACCCTTATGTGTAAGGCTCACGAATGCACAGGTAAAATGTAGCATCTAACAGAGTGAGAAATTTACTTATTATGTTCAGATTGGGTAAATCACCCTTACGTGTAAGGCTCACGAATGCACAGAGTGAGAAATTAACTTACTTCTCTGAAACTTTAATTTCAAATGAAGATAAATGTGCAAGTTTAAAGACGAATGCAGGAAAGTTGGTCTATGATTGGTCTAGTTTTCAACTACAGTAAAGTTTATGGTCTCATTTTTTTCTCTTTTATTTGTATATTTTCTCTATTTACCCTTCCCTTTTTAAGAGTACTGGCTATGGGCACATCTTGCCTAAAGCTCTAAGGTTCTGATTATTTTTATACTATGCAGGTGTACTGCTGCAGGCGGTCAGCGTTAGATTTTCATGGAGTTTGTGGGAAAGAGGCAGGATCTCCCAAGTGATGTTACACACGTGCAATTCAGCGTTATGAGATCTTCAGTACTTAAATTTAAGGCTGTAATTACAATCCTACAAACTTGCTCATAGCAACCCAACCTGCAGACATCTCAGTTTACTAAATGTGTCCCCGTTATTTTTATTTACAAGCTCCCTGGATCCATAGAGTTGAGTGCTGGCTACCTTCCCTGCTGAATAGCCTGTCTTTATATCTGTAACCAGTCATGAGAAGACTGCAGTTTCCTGCAGTTTTTTGCTTGCATTCAAAGTTACTTCATTTCCTTGCCTCCAAGACTGAAAACTTTTTCTTTTAAATCCTTTTAGTATAATCTGACACATTATAACTGATTTGTCCTAAGGCACCCACAGCTGCTAAAATCCCTTTAGGAGGCTCTTGGGTAAAATAGCAAGCAGTTCTGAACTATTGCAGTGGCTAATTTCAGAAAGAATGAATATGTATCTGTTTCAGGAACCTTAGCTTTCAGAAAGTGTTTTTGTGGATTGGATCAGAATAGTAGATGCAAGAAAACTATGGCTATAAAGTGGAAGGCCTGAATAGCTGTGGTTGTCATCACCAGTGGAATCAAGGTTTTTCCTTTTCCTGCCATTTCCTCTAACGAGCTGAAAAACAGTGAGTACCTTTATTACTTAAAAGAGTATTTCTGAAGGTCTTAATTGTTTATACACCAAAATACAATGGCAATAAAAATTAAACTAGGAAAGATGTGCTATATGTATAGAACTGTTTCTGTATTTTATATGCTGACCCAT